TGCGCCAGGCACTGTTGTGGGCACCTCGGTGATCATTTCTCGAGCACCTACTGTGCGCCAGGCACTGTTGCGGGCCCTTGGAACACATCAAGTGAACCAACCAAGCAAATACTCTTTCATTCGTGTCCAGAGAAACTAGGCTCTTGGGAAAAACCTCAGAAGGAAAAGCTGGGATGGGGGCTTGCTAAATCAAAATGGTATTTGTCAAAATAAAAGCCAGAAAGAAGTACATTGATAGGCTGAGTTTCACTGGTCCCTTGGAGGGAAATTTCTGTAGGCAGAGGACGCTGAGGTCATGGAGTGGTCATCGCAAAGGTCGTCTCCCTGAGTCAGTGGCTGAGATCTGATGGCTCCTGAGGGACCAGGTACCGGGGAGGCGGGGAGGCAGCAGCGCAGGAAGCAGCCTGGGGAAGGGCTCGGGCAAAGCCCAGGTGAGGACGTTCGGGTCTGTAGAGGGGACAGCGTCCAGGGAATTGTCCATCTAAGCGCGTCGTTGGACTCAGAAAGACCTAGCAGTTCTGTCACAGTGTGTCCCAGTGCAGAGGTGTGTGTGTGTGGGGGGGAGGCGAGGCAAGCCATGGACAATCTAGGAGCTTCTGAGATCGGGCAGAGGTGAGCACCAGCTAGGGGCAGAGAGCAAGGCTGTGGTCACTGAGCGGAGTCAAGGAACTTGCCAGCCGCTGGGAGGCACACGTCACCCCCCGAGCAGTGTGTTCCACGGGGACCCGGGCCCAGGCGTGCAGAAGGGAGGTGCCCTCAGACTGGAGGGGCGGGACTCGGGAACCTTTCCATCCCTCTGGATGAAGAACAGAATCCACACTGAAGACGGGAAAACCACATGACCTGGTCCCTAGAGAAAGCAGATGAGGGGACAGGAACGGGGCCCTCCTTCTCGCTCTGCCTCCCTCCCCCACGCCGAGGAAGGAGAGAGGAGACCACGCCTGCGTCAACAGGAGCCCCCACTAGCACTGCCATGTTGCCATGACACTGATGGTTTCAGAGAGTCCTTCTTCTCAGCTTAACCCAGGTATTCAGTCCATAATTCAGAGGATGGGTTTCATAGCAGAAGTGCTAAGTAGGACAGGTGTGGATCCCTTGCCCGCATCCTTGCTACATCTTTATGTGGTCCCTCTCAGCTACTACTCCCATCCACTTTTCTCTTCATTACAACTTGCACTCCACGCCACACCCCACCCCCTTGCCCTCTTCCTGGACCCCACCTTTCCTGCTTACGCCCATTTCGAGGTTGACTTAACCCTTCACACTAGATGCTGACACCCTCCTTGTCTGATTCAGCAGCTTCCTCTGGCTACACCTCTGTAGTGAACATTCTGTTTGATTCTGCAATGTCCATACGCCCCGCCCCCATCGTAGCAGCAGCCCAGGTCGGGGGATGAAAGCGTCTGGTCCACACACTACCATGGACACCGTGTTGAGTTGGACTTCCAAACAATCCTTGTGTCTCTGCACCGCTTACTCCAAATCAAAGTGCCAGGAGTCAGCAACTGACTCCCCAGGTTCAGGGCCACCTCCTAGGACCTGTTCCTTCAGCGCCCACCGGTGTGTGTGTGTGTGTGGTGGGTGAGGGGTGTTGTTGTCAGAGGAGGCAAGCGCCTTCAGTTGCCCTCTTGTCAGAGCTAATCACAGTGGGTAATTCTCCCGGCAGGAGATCTGGCACTAATAAGAAAGGGGGGCTTCCAGGTCAGTGCGGTCCCATAGAATAATAACATAAGCCACACATGGAATTTAACATCTAGTCACCACGTTTTCAAAGGCAGAAACAAGTGGAATTAATGTTAATATTGTATTTTATTGAACCCAATAGTTCTAAGAGTTCATCATGTCAACATGTAGTCGATGTAAAAAAAGTGATTAATAAGATATGTTCCTGTTTGTTGTTGTAAGACTGGGAACTCAGGGTGTATTTTATCCTCATAGCACTCACTTCTCAATCCAGACGCAACATTTTCATTGGAAATATTTGATCTGTATTTATATTTACAGTTGGAAAAGTAACATCACATACCCGCATTGTTCTAAGCATACTTAAAAGTTCTGCAATTACTGAGTCGAATACCAAAAATTCATTTCCCTTTAATCACTGCCACGTTGACAAAACAAATTCACCTTTCTTAGAAGAATTGTTTGAAGCAGAAGCATATCTGTTTCAAAACTGCCCAAGTTTTGTGAATTCCCTGACTCTTGAGTCAACTCAGTATTAGCCCGTGGAATGTAAGGAGAGGGGTATTGGATAAACTCGAAAGTCACCCTCAGTTTATCAATGCCAGTGAAACGTTCTTCGCGTTTTCCCCGCAGGTTTTGCAGATAATTTGCACCATGTGGGTATTACAATGACAGTATGTTGTGCATTGACTCACATTAGACAATGTATAAAATCATTCCTACGCCATTATGTTTTGAAGCCTTTCCATTTCTCTGCAAATTCTTGTACCCTTCCAGCTAGGCGACCAGTACTCTCTCTCTCTTTCCTTCAAGCTTCAGGTTGATCTCATTCATATACACTGTGAGATCAGTGAGAAAACAGAACTCACGCTGCCATATTTTATCTTGGATTATTAAACCGTTGGTAGGAATTCCTTTTGTTTGGAGAAAACCTTGCATTGGAACTGAGAGGAGAGTAAATCTTGGAAAGCTGTCCCATGACTCAGCCGCTGAACGTGGACAGAAACACAGATCACCCCCTTCGCTGTCCCCACTTCCTTCCATAAACTGGTGACTCACCGCTTTTGGACACACTGAGCAATTTCAACGGCCGTATCCACGACACTTTCCATAGCGTTGGCTTCTGAAAATGAGCACAAATATTTTCAGTATGTCTCATACGGTGGAATGAGGCAGTAAGGGAAACACCAGGCTCTTGTTTTGAAATTTCAGTAAATCCAGATTTTTGACTGAACATAGCTGGAGCACCATCTGGCATGAAAGAAACTAATTTATAATATATATATCTAACTGAAATTCTTGTCAGATGTAAAAGATGCAAAAAAATTTATGCCCCAGTTTGTTTTTTCTAAAGCTATGAATTGGCCCTGTTTCTTCAAAATTTTGGAAGACTCTTAAGACTAACTATACCCAAAGCATTAATTGGGCAGTGTCTCACAGCCATGAGTCATAAAAATTTGCTGTTTTTTAAAATTTGATTTAATTATCTTCCCTAAGTTCTTTATTTTATGGGAAAATGCTGGCTTAATTGAAGATTGTTGACTTTTTATAAAAATACCTTTTTAGTCTTTTTCTGCTAATTTTCTGAAAAATTTTCACAACCGAAACACTAATTTCTTTGACCATCTTTCTGTTAAAATTTGTGTGTGTGCATGTGTGTGCAAGAATCCAAGTCATTTTAGAGCTGGCCAAAATGACAGTCTCTGACCCTGTGAAAACCGATTTCAAGTGGTTTTGTTCAATATTTTATTCTGACTTCGGGCGACTAATTCCATCGGCTCGTTTTTTATTGTAAAATACGCATACCATAAAATTTTCCATCTTAACCATTTTGAAGTGCATAGTTCTGTGGCATTGAGTGCTCTCATGCTCTCACTGTTGTGCCGCGGTCACCACCATCCAGCTTGAGAGCTTTTGTTTGTCTTCCCAAACCAAAATTGTGTCCCTAGTACATACTCACTCCCCAGTCCCTCCCCTCCAGCCCCTGGCAACTTTCTATCTCTGAGTTTGACTATTCTAGGAACCTCATAGAAGTGGAATTACAAGTATGGACCACGTTTTGCTTATCCATTCACCCATCAATGGACACCTGAGTTCCTTTGGCTGTTGTGAGTAAGCTGCTATGAACATGGGTGCGCCAATATTTGTTCACTTCTTTTGGGTGTATACGGAGAGGTGGAATTGT